GACATGGGACCTGGGAGTCCAGAATGTGCTCGGACATGGGTAATGAAAACAGGAAATCTCCTATTTAACAAGGCAGCTTGTATCTTTTGAAAGATGTTAGCAACTCTGCTGGAGGATCTTATTATTCCAGCTATCTCAAGGAGATTAACTGCATTAACCACATAAGAGGAATCTGATACAATATTGAGGGGTCCTGGAAAAGCCTCAAGAACCTCCAGTACTATCAGACATTCTACAACTTGAGGTGAAGTTTCATTATATTGTTTAGATATAACCCTATCCTTGACCACATAAGCTCCCATACCAGTTTTTGATCCATCAGTGTACACCACAGTCCCATCTGGGAGTGGGTCTTTAGCTGTCACTTGTGGAAACACTATAGCCTGGTTTAGGGCAAACTGTAAAATTGGATGCTTTGGAAAATGATTATCAATTTGTCCTGAAAAGGAAGTAACTAAAACTGCCCAATCACTAGATGTGGCTGCCAAGGTCTGAACTTGTGCAGCAGTATAAGGCACAATCAAGGAATCAGGATCCCTGCCAAAATGTGTAACAGCTGCTTTTATTCCGCGAAGCGCGAGCTGTGCAACAGCATCAGGGTACCAGTCAATAATCTTAGCAGGGGAAGCATTTGGATGAATCCAAAGTAATGGTCCATGTTGCCACAGGACTGCAGTTGGCAATTGAGCTGTCTTAAAAACACACAGATTAAAAGGTAGTGACTCCTCAATACGTTGTAATTGTGCTTCCTGTAAGGCCTCTTCCACCATCTGTAAGGCTCGGTGGGCGGCAGGGGTAAATTTTCTGGGTGAGGAGATATGAGGCTCACCCTCCAGGAGATCGAAGAGGGGTTTTAGATCAGCAGATGGAATTTTTAAAAAGGGCCTCAACCAATTTATATCTCCCAGAAGTTTCTGAAAATCATTTAATGTTTGTAAGTGGTCTTTGCGAATTTCTATTTTCTGAGGAACTATATTTTTGGGAGTAATCATTGAGCCCAAAAAGAGCCCTGTATCTGCAATTTGAACCTTTTCTGAGGCAATCTCTAATCCCCACTGTTTTAATTCAGCCACCAGCATGGGGAAAGCCTTTTGTAAAACATCTAACTCTTTGTGACAAATAAGAATATCGTCCATATAATGGATAACGATTAAAGATGTAAATTGCTTCCTAATTGGCTCCAAAGCCTCCTGCACATACAGCTGACATATTGTTGGGCTATTGGCCATGCCTTGCGGCAGTACCTTCCACTGAAATCTCTTGTCTGGTTCCATATGATTAAGAGAAGGGATAGTGAAGGCAAACCTTGGTCTATCCCGTGGGTAAAGTGGAATAGAGAAGAAACAATCCTTAATATCTATAATAATAAGCTTCCAATCTTGAGGAAGTGCAGAAAGCAAAGGAAGGCCTCTTTGAACAGGGCCAAAAAGATGCATCTGATTGTTAATGGCCCGCAGGTCATGGAGTAATCTCCACTTCCCAGATTTCTTCTTAATAACAAAAATTGGTGTATTCCATGGGGAGGTAGAAGGCTCTAGATGCCCCAGCCGTTCCTGTTCTTGCACTAATCTTGTGACAGCCTCTAATTTTTCAGAGGATAGAGGCCATTGAGAGACCCATAACGGCTCCTCTGTTTTCCATGGTATGGGTCGTGAAGCCTCAACGGCCCCTAAATAAAACCCAGTCCTTTTCTACCCCGATTTCCGTGTTGCGTAATGGGTTTTATTCTGCCTTGTTCTTGCCTACCCAAGCCTCTACCCTTTGTATACCCCATCTTTGCCATAATGGCTGATGCCTGGGGGGAGTATTCATTAGTTAGGGTCATGCCCATGGCTTGTAACACATCCCGTCCCCATAAATTTACAGGGAGTGGCAACACATAGGGGGTAAAACATCCCTGTTTGCCCTCAGCATTCCGCCAGGTTAAGGCTGAGGCACTGATGGCAGGAGAGGACTGGTATCCAAGACCTTGTAGAGAATGAGATGAAACAACAGTGGGCCAAGACTTCGGCCACCAATGGAGTGAAATAATGCTTTTGTCTGCTCCCGTATCCATTATCCCTTCAAATTCTTTTCCATTAATTAACAATTTTATTGTAGGTCTCTCATTTAGGGGTATAGCCAGATAGGCTGAATCACTTCCAGAAGATCCCATAGCCCTTTTTTGTAAAGTGTAGGTTTCTCCATCCCCGAGGGAGGGCAGCAACACCAGTTGTGCAATTCTATCTCCCTGCTTTATAGAAAATACACCCCGAGGGCTAGAACAGAGAACTTGAATCTCCTCTTTATGATACGGGTCAACAATTCCAGGATATATAATGAGTCCCTGTAAAGTTAAGGAGCCACGGCCCAGAATAAGCCCAATGGTGGCAGGGGGCAAAGGTCCAGGGGAATGGACTGGGACCGGTTGAACATTCATTTGGGGCATGAGTAAGAAGTCGGAGGCGGCACGCAAGTCCATTCCGGGGGTTCCTCGGAAGCCTCTACTTCCTCTTGATTGCTTTTCTGAAATTGGTTCCCATATTTCTGAGGGCCCTGGGACCATGGGCCCCGTGACCCGTTTTTTGATTGGGGTACCTTGGGTTCTTCAATAGGGGGCAGAAGCCTCCCTTTTACATCCCGGACTGACCTGCATTCGCTAGCCCTATGATAACCTTTACCACAACGATGGCAAAGCTTCGATTCTCTTGTTCTTTCAGGGGCTTGACAATCTTTCTTAAGGTGCCCCATTCTCCCACAATTAAAACAAGCTTTTCGACTAGATAAATCTCTATACCTGTGCGTTTGTAAAATGGCGGCAGCTAGTCCTGCATTGGTTAGGGGTCCCCCAGCTCCCTGCACACTCTGAGCCAATCTTGTAAACCTTTGCTTTTGCGAGGGGCGATAGCCGCTCGACATTCCTGGGTTGCTTGTTCATAGACAAGTTGCTCAATCAGGGGCATAGCTTGTTCTGAATCACCAAAGATGCGACTGGCGGCCTCTGTCATTCTGGCCACAAAGTCTGAAAATGGCTCTTGGGGTCCTTGGACAATCTTTGTAAGGTGTCCACTGGACTCTCCCTTTTGTGAGGGCCTTCCATGCTTTAATAGCGGCGGCCGACACCTGACCATAGACACCCCAGATGTAGTTGGTTTGATTAAGGGCATGTTGACCCTGACCTGTCAGCATTTCAAATGTCCACTGCCTCTGATTCTCATCTTCAGCTGTGGCATTAACTCTAGCTTGTGCCTGGGCTGCATCATACCAGAGAGCCTTCCATTCCATGTATTGTCCCATGTTGGGAAGCACTGCTTTCACTGTCGTCTGCCAGTCAGTGGGAGTCATGGCAAAATTAGCAAGCCTTTCCACCTGTAATGTGGTAAAGTTAGCATTGACCCCATAATTACGAACGGATTCGGCCAATTCTTTGATTTGATTGTAATCTACAGGGGTATGTACTCTTCCGCCTTCCGCATTCTCGAATACTGGAAAAGCTACTTGTATTTTTCTCCGTTCCTCTAAAGGTAAAAAGGAGTCAGTACCAGTATTCAGCCGAAGCTCATACTGCGGAGGCGCTGAGGGGCGTGAGCCCGCCGGATTTATAGGCGGTGGCCTCACATTCATTTTTGTTTTCAGTGGCCGGTGTCTATCAGGGTGATATCTTTCTTCCTCATACCGTGCCACCTCCTCCTCTAGACCACCTTCTTCGCTAGAATACAGAGTGTCAGAATCAGAATTATCTAGCTCCAAGGCTTCTAGCTCTACTGTAGGGTATAGACTAGATTCTGGCTTTTTCTTTTTCTTAGATTTGTTAGGGGTGAATGATCACTCCCTTCTCTCTCTCCCCCTTTCTTAACTTCTTGGGGAGGGCCTTTTTTCTTAGACATGTCTTTCCTTTTGCGAGCTCCCATTCTCTCACTCCGTTCAGTTTCTGACATGCTATCCTGAACTTCCTCTAAGGTTCCCTGACTTTCTATTATAGCAGGGTGACAGGCCTCATCCTCCAAGCAGTTTTTAACTAGCTTCCAAATGGCTTTGGTACCTAAGTGGAGATCTCCTTCTGCATGCTTCCTGTCTAGTTCTTTACCTAGCTTGTTCCATGAGGCCACAGTGAGGGACCCGGAACAAGCATACCATGGTGCCACTCTATCTACCTCCTTCACAAAATTTTGAAGTGTTCGTGGTGCAATTTTAAGATCTCTTTGTTTTAGCACAGTCTGTAGGGCAGTAACCACTGACTGTGACAACCCCATCGCGCTAGCGGCTTATCTAAAAACGGCGCTCAACTCCGTTACCAGACTGACAGCACCAGACTGACAGCACCAGACTGACAGCACCAGACTGACAGCACCAGACTGACAGCACCGTTCTGTCAGCACCAGCCACGATGAAGGAGAAGGACAAACAGGACTAGCACCAAAGCCTCCACTGACCCGTCCCACGGTGATGACAAACTAAGGCCAAAGTCGAGAAAGGGGTGTTCAGGATAAAGCATACCTCTCTGAACTTACGTCCCTGCAGTTCTGAATCCGCCCCGTCTTCCGAGGGGTCTCCCGCGGCGCCGGCGATGTTGAAGAGTTCCCGGGTTTCGGCACCAGATGTCCCGCGCTACCGTCTCGCCAGCAAGAACGACGCAGAACACTCGGATCCTTCTGCAGTAAAGCTTTAATGCATCTTGAGAGATAGATGATCAGCTTCTTAGAGGGAGACCCCAAGCTAAGAAACCCAGCCCCTTATATAAGCCTAGGAGCTCCGAGTGAGACGTGTAGAGCCGGGATTGGTGGTTTGCACATCACCCCAGATGACGCCACGGGAGAGGCACAGCTTAAACCGTTAACTCCAACTGACAGCAGATGTCAGCGCCATCTTCTAACGGCAATAGCGATAGCGAGGGCGGCTCCTCACACCTAAGGATAGCTAACCCTTGACAAATCAGGTGTCATGGTTTAGGTGAGAGCATTTCTAACACTCAGTATTGCCCCACTTCCTTTTCTCCAGGCTGTCAGGCTTATTTTTGATTGGTCTTGGACTCCGGATAGACCAGGATGGCCTTGAATTCAGAGATCCACCTGCTGTGGCCTCCTAGACGCTGAGATTAAAAGCATTCACCACCATGCTTGGGGTGCACTTTTCTACATCACCTTGTAGAGATTTCTGTTCTACTGGTACGATACAGTTCATCTGTGATAGTGCAGACTTAAAGTCTATCTCAGAGGTAGGAAACTTACTGTATTTATTATTTTTAGTCTCATAATGTGATAGGAAGAAAGTTAATTGCATAATACTAGCTTTATTTTAATCACAGTGGGGCCAAGCATATAACTAAGTGGAATAGTGCTAATGAAATATGCACAGGGCCCTAGGAAGCATCCCCAGTACTGAGAAAAAGGGTTTTGTGTGCATGTGGAGGCCAGAGGTCCATCTTGGGTATTCTAGAGAGCCAACCTAGTTTTTTAGATGGTTCTAATTTGGATCTGGGATTCACTGATAAGACTATGTTAGTTGACTGGCAAGTCTTAGGTGATTGCCTGTCTATGCTTCCCCAGTGCTGGAATTTTAAGCATACAGTAGGAACACTCTTGGCCATGTATTTTAGCTTTTGTGTATTCTTTTTAAAATATCCTTTTAACTGAAACAGAATTATTTCAAATTTCCCCTCTTTCCTCACTTTATCCCCTCTCATATATCCTCCCTCCAAGCCTATCTATGGACCCCCCAGTTCTCAAATTGATAGCCTCTTTTTCTAGTATAATTATTGTATATGTGGTATGTGTGTGTGTGTGTGTACAAATACACACATATACACACCAACTTCTGAGTGTACTTTTTTTGCTTGTGTGTTGATGTCAGAGCTGACAACTCTGCTCAGGATAAACAATAAGGGCCTGATCTCTAGGATAGGCTAAGTTTTCTCCCAGGAGTTTGTAGTTGTCTGTGGTTCTTTGTCTAGAGGTGAGACCCTGAAAAATTTTTCCCTCTTATGTGTTAACATGTGCACTGATATTACGATTGTTATGGTCTTGGTTTTGTGACTATTTCTAGGAGAAAGAGTTTAACAGAAGACACTTCTTGGTTTTCTGGATTTTAGTCGTTTCTGCCACATGTCCTGCAGTGTTCCCGAAGTTGTACATGTAGGGGCTGTAATACAGATGGATCCATTTGGAGCTTGGCTTCTGGTGATCTATTAATCTCTGTATTGTGTCCAGTTGTGGTTTTCTATGATAGTCTGTTTGCTGTACAAGAGGCTTTTTTTGATGAGGGGTGGTAGCTGTGCATACCTGTCAGTATAAGGATAAGATTTAGAATGTAGTAAGGAATTCTTCACCGGATCCATAAAGCTAGTTAGGCATGATTTCCCTCCTGTGGAGTGGGTATTAGGTCCAATTAGCTAGCTACTGGATGTCACCCACAGTTGAATGCTGCATTAGGGTTAGTTATCCTTTGTGGATATCTGGCCATGTTGGCCTTTGTGTTCCTAAGTATTGCAGCTGGGGAGGACTGTAAACTGTTTACCCTCCTTGGCAGCTTGCCTAGTATTTTTGGTACCATGGAGGCTAGACACAGCAAAGAGGCATTCAGGTCAGATCCAGTTTGAATTATCCAAGTTTTGTGTCCTAGGAGCTCATTTTCATCCCGTAAGAGGAAACTAAGGGCTACATCAATATCATGCATTGTTTCGAGAATCCCACTATCCACCCTGTCCCTCCATGTAAAAGGATATTTCTCATGCCTGGTACTGGGTTTTTTTTCAGTTTAAATTTAGATAAGAAACAAGGTTGCTTCACAAGTCAGTTCCAGGTCCCTCTCCCTTTCCCTCCCCTCCTCCCACACCGTCCCCCAACCGCCCCATTATCCCCTAATTTCCCCAGGTAGGGTGAGGCCATCCATGGGGGTGTCCATAGTCTGTCATTTCATATAGGGCAGGGCCCAGACCCTTCCCCAAGAGTTCAGGGTGAGAGTGCACATCACATTGTTGGATGGGAGTACACTTGGGATGTGTACTGATCTGATGCCCAAGGCTCAATAGATTACATAGGCCTCCTCACTGACACACTCAGGAGGTCTTGATCAGTCCCATGCTGGATTCCCAGGCTGATGCCTGGAATTCAATAGTTAACCTTGTCAGGTCAGCTGTTTCTGTGGGTTAAACCAGCCCACTCTTAATCCCTTTGCTCATCAGTCCTCCCTCTCTGTTACTGGCTTTCTTGAGTTCAGCTCAGTACTTAACCGAGGGAGTCTGCCTCTTCTTCGATCAGCCACTGAATGAAGTTTCTGCTTCCCAGACACTCTGGCCATGGGATTGCAGGCTGGCACTCCCCAGATCTATGTCTAAAATCCATATATGAGAGAGTACATGCCATGTTTCTCTTTTTGTGACTGGGTTACCTCACTCAGGATGGTTTCTTCCAGTGTCATCCATTTGCCTGTGAATCTCGGGATTCCATTGATTTTTCTGCTGAATAGTACTCCATTGTGTAAATGTACCACATTTTCTCTATCCACTCTTCAGGTGAGGGACATCTAGGTTGCTTCCAAGTTCTGGCAATTACACATAAAGCTGCTATGAACATAGTGGAACAGACATCTTTGTTGTATGAATGGGCATCTTTTGGATGGAGTATGCCTAGGAGTGGAGTTGCTGGGTCTTGTGGTAGGTTTATTCCCATTTTTCTGAGGAATCTCCATACTGATTTCCAAAGTGGCTGAACCAGTTGGCACTGCCACCAGCAATGGAGGAGTGTCCCTCTTTCACCACATCCTCTCCAGCATAAATTGTCATTGGTGTTTTTGATTTTAGCCATTCTGACAGGAGTGAGATGGTATCTCAGAGTTGTTTTGATTTGCATTTCCCGGATGGCTAAGGATATTGAGCACTTTCTCAAGTGCCTCTCAGCCATTTTAGACTCCTCTATTGAAAACTCTCTATTTAGTTCTGCAGCCCACTTTTTAATAGGGTCCTTTCTTAGTTTTGTCTTTGTTTGGTTTAGGGATAAAAGTTATTGAAGCCTCAAAGAAAGAGTTTGGCAAAGACCCTTCTGCTTCTATTGTGTGGAATACTTTGAGAAGAATTGGTATAAGCTGTTCTTTGAATATTTTGTAGAATTTTGCACTGAGGCCATCTGGACCTGAACTTTTTTGGTTGGGAGACTTTTGATGACTGCTTCTATTTCCATAGGGGTTATAGGTCTATTTAAATTGCTTATCTGTTCTTGATTTAGATTTGGAAAGTGATAGCTATCCAGGAAGCTGTCAATTTCCTTTAAATTTTCGAATTTTGTGCAGTACAGGTTTTCAAAGTATGACCTGATGATTCTCTTGATTTCCTCAGAGTCCGTTGTTATGTCCCCCTTTTCATTTCTTATTTTGTTAATTTTCAGGTTCACTCTCTGCTGTTTGGTAAGTTCAGACAAAGGTTTGTCTATCTTGTTGATTTTCTCAAAGCACCAACTCTTTGTTGCATTGATTCTTTATATTGTTTTCCTAGTTTCTACTTTATTGATTTTAGCTCTCAATTTGATTATTTTCTGGTGTCTACTTCTCCTGGGGAGTTTGCTTCTTTGTGTTCTAGAGCTTTCAGCTGTGCTGTTAATTCTCTGGTATAACTGTTCTCCAGTTTCTTCATGTGGGCACTTAGTGCTATGAACTTCCCCCGTAGCACTGCTTTCAAAGTGTCCCATAGGTTTGGGTATGTTCTGTCTTCATTCTCATTGAATTCGAGGAAATATTTAATTTCTTTTTTATTTCTTCTTTGACCCAGGGATGGTGCAGTTGAGCATTATTCAATTTCCATGTTTTTGTAGGTTTTCTGCAATTTGTGTTGTTGTTGAATTCTAATTTTAATGCATGGTGGTCTGATAAGATGCATGGAGTTATTCCAATTTTTTGTAGCTGCTGAGGTTTGATATGTTGCCAAGTATGTGGTCGATTTTTGAGAAGTTTCCATGGGGTGGAGCGAAGAAGGTATATTCTTTTTTATCTGGATGAAATGTTCTATAGATGTCTGTTAATCCCAGTTGGGTCATCACTTCTATCAGACCCTTTGCTTCTTTTTTGAGTTTCTGTCTGGTATTTCTGTCTAGTGGTGAGAGTGGTGTGTTGAAATCTCCCACTATAACTGTGTGGGGTTTTGGATGTGATTTAAGTTCTAATAATGTTTCATTTACGAATGTAGATGCCTTTATATTTGTCATGTGGGCATGTATGTATGACATTACACACATGTGGGGAGCAGAGCGCAACTTGTGTGGGTTTGTTCTTCTTTGACCATGTAGGTTTTAGTGATCAAACTCAGGTCCTAAGGCTTGTTGGCAGGTACTCTGACATCACATCACCTTGCTGACACTTTCAGAATTTTTATATGTTTTTAACCTGTTATTTGATTGGTGAGGTGGGGTTACATGTACCACTGTTGAAGTGTGGAGAGCAGAGGAAAGATATCAGGAAGTGATTTTTTCCTCCCACCATGTGAATTCCAGGTTGAAATCTTGTTGTTTTTTCTTAATCTTAGCAAGAACAAAGTCAAGTAAAATTATGTAGCTGCTTCTGAGCTTAGAGATTTTTCACATTGTTTCAAATAAAGCATAAAGATGTACAATTTTAGAGGTGGATAGCTCTCCAGAAGTTTTGTGCATTTTAGGTTTTAAGTTACAGAAGAGCCTTGTATGAGTACGGTTCACTTGTTCACAAACTGGTGAATGTTTTGATTATTTTCAAGTAGAAAAATTTATACAAATGCCAAGCAACTTGATTTTATTATGAATGTACTGTGAAACGTTAATTACGCTAGCATATATATTACCTCTTAGTTCTCATGTTGAAAAGCTTAGTCTTTCTAGCCATCTTCACATCTATATTGTAATAAACTATATGACCATGATGGCTTTTGCTTCTTACTACAGAGAAGTTAAAGAAAATTTAAAATCCCATGTTCTACCATTTTATTTAACATAGTAAAATGTTTCTGAAAATAAAAAGGTATGAAATAGCACCCACTTCATTCAGAAATATGCCCTGTCCCAGCACAAGGGTAGGTGCTGTGCTGCTGCCTGCATGGTCACTGGTAGCCCATTACGAGGAGGACAGGGAGTATCTTTGCACAGCCCGTTATCTGTCCACGGAAGCCTAGTAAGCCCATACTACATAACCATTAATTAATTATAAGAACTAGAGCCTGAATCAGATAATTGCATTCAAGTAGAATTGGTTCCACAGAAT